TCTGTAGTAGTGCCTGCTGAATCTGGAGTAGGAAATGCTGATGGTTTCATGGTGCTGTAAGTAAATGAAGGCTTTTCCCCCCTTTTTTAAATCCAGTCAGATCAGTAAGGTAACCATACCAGTGACTAATACAGAGTTGTTTTCTCCCACAGAAAACAACATGACTGCAGTGTGCTGAGCAGGACATTCTGAGGGCATGAAACACTAACAGGATATTTCAAGTGCTTTGTAAAACCAGACAATACCATGTCAGGGCATGACAGAGATACTGAGTATTCAGACATTACCAGTGCATGCTTCATAAAACAACAGGTTAGAGAGTCCACATGAGGAAAAGCAGCCTTTGATTTCATCTTGAGTGGCGTGCACACTGTTTCAAAATGTTAGTGCCTCAAGTCTCTTTTAGAAGAGCAACCACCAGGTATTGATAGTCAGCAGCTCCCTATGACCAAAAAAGCTGAAGAGGCAAACACAGCTATAGTCTCCAAAAGGTAGAAATAAATATATATGAGAAAACTTCCTTTAAAAAAAGCAAAAGTACGAAAATTACATCATTGAGAGCATTCTGGGAGATCTTTAAGGATACTATTTTGGATATGCAGAGCAAACGTGAAAAGTAAGAGGTGCCAAAAGAAAAACAAGATCCTGAATATTCAAAATATTCAAAAGCTTCAACTGAGATGAAAAAGTGAAAAATACTGAAAAATCTGAAGATAATTTTACAAAGTATTTTATTTTTACCAAAAGTGTACTTTATTCTGGGGTTAAAAGATATGAATGAAAAATTCTGACCAGCTACCTTCAACTAAAGAGCATATAGTGAGTGCCATGTACCTTTCTTTAAGTGTGAAAGATTCTGTTTCTCTTGTTTCATAATCCAAGGTCATTCATGCCATGCCCTGTGTTGCAGCTGGACATGCCTTCCTTAGTGTTTTTTTTTTTAAAGCTGGATTATTTCACCAGTAAGGTTTTACTGCAGTCCCACAACCAATTTTATCTCCACAGGGTATGACGGAATAAGAATGAACAGATCGATTAGGGAAAAGGGGAGATTTTGCAAAATTTTCTTCCAAAGGGTCACTTAGTTAAAAAAGAAGTAAATTTACCAAAGTTCCTACTTGGAACACCTCACTGGTTGATGGAATTATTATTGTCTGCTTGCCTGCTTTCAGCTTCTAGTTTTAAAATAAGGCAGCAGAGCTTAAGAAACAAGGAGAAGATAAGTATGTTGGCCACATATTTAAGTATCACCACTATGGCACTAAATGGGCTCTGGACATGTAACATTTTAATGTATCTATGCATCCAGTTGGATTATGAAATTAAGATTAAAGAAAGGCAGAACAGGCGAAAGAAATGCACTGATAAGTAAGCAGTGCTAAAGATTCATCGTATAATTTTTCCACACAATTGTTTATCTTGACTCTGAGCTGAGCCAAGCATTATAAGTGAACCCTGAAAGTGTATACTGAAGTAAATATATTCTTTTAGAGTTTATTTTTATAATTAGATTTTGAGATTGCACACTTTCCATTTCAGTAATTTAGACAGCTCTGTAAAAGCTCATCACAAATATATTTTGCTATTCACTGGAAATATGTTTTAAAATCTCTTTTTTCCTCACCAATTTCCTTACAGAAATAAACACTGGTGGAGCAGCACCACTTGCAGAAGTCTGCAGGAGTGATGTAGTTTATGGACCTTAATGATGGGTTAGAATGATGGATTCAAGTTTCAGATGAATGCTTTTCAGTAAAAGTGTCTCTCTGCCCTTCATTCCTGGTTTCTTACTTCTCCGCCTCTATAAATCTTGTACACTAGTACTGTGGTTTGTTATCAAACACACATCCTTGTTGGATGAGATAATCAGTTAGGTAGTGCCATTACTCAGGATGATAATGGAAACCATTTATGCATGCTTTCATGCCTATATTTGCATTGATTTTTTTAACCTTGAATTTCATAGGCATTTTAATATTGCAAGAGTGGTAGAAAGGCACAGTGCATAGGAGAAGATAGCCTCAGAGATTCCCAAAATGTCTTCTGATTTATGGATGGAACATGGAGTCTTTGAATAATTTGTTAAAAATTTATTATTATTTTTGATTGTTTTCCTTTTTTACTTATTTTTCTCCTTGAGATCATCATTCCAAACCCATTCAAATTTCCGTCACCCTTTTTCTGTTAGTTTCTTTTTGTTCCTATTTCTGTTGAGTTCAAAGGCCCTTGAATCAGATACAGAGAAAAACAGGTACTTCCTTAACTGTACAGTGGTAGGTAAAGAGAAGTTCAAATTAGAAATATCAGAATAGAGAAAATGAAATATTTGCCTTTTGCATTAGCTTTATGCTGCTGCTAGAAACAACAAATCTCCAAGCTTGCACTTAGCAAAATTATACCTTACCTTGTTGTATAGTAACCAAACTACTTCAGAAAATTGATTTAGAAATTTCAGTGTAGTTTATCAAACAGATAAAATCTTTACCACTGATGTTCAGCTCCCTAGCTTGCCTTGCAAATCTGGAGTAGTGCTTTGCTCCAAGTAAATGTCAAATGATTTAATTAGAAAAGTGTTTATTGTAATAAACCTTTTTTACTGCTGGTAGATAAAGCTATGAACATAAGTCTAGTTCTAGTTATTTTGTTGTTTTGTTGGTAGTTTTCCTTTTTTTTTTTCTTTTTTTAAATTTGATTAACTAGGGCATCATAGCCAGTCTCTGCAAAGATTCACTTAGGATCACAGAATCGTAGAGCATATCCATAAACCAGTTAGAAGGCCCCCATAAGTATCATGGAGTCCAACCAACTCCCTGTTCCTTGCAGAATGACCAAAACCAAAGTCATATGACTATGACCATCATCCAGATGCTCTTTGAACTCTGACAGTCTTGGTGCTGTGACCACTCCCCATGAGAATGATCTGACCACCCTCTCAGTGAAGAACCTTCTCCTTATGTCAGATCTGAACTTCTCCTGATGCAGGTTCATTCTGTTTTCCTGGGTCCTATTGCTGGTCACCAGAGAAAGATCAGCACCTCCCCCTCCACTGCCCCTCCACTGCCCCTCCACTGCCCCTCCACTGCCTCTCTCGAGGAAGTTGTTGGCTTCTCCCCACCAGGCTGAGCAAGCAAAGACCTCAAGTTCTTACCCTTAAGGCCTTTCACCATCCTGATTGTTCTCCTGTGAAGACACACTAATGATTTGTTGTCCCACTCATATTGTGGTGCCCAAAACTGCACACAGTACTAGAGGTGAGGCTGCACCAGTGCAGAGCAGAGCAGGACAATCCCCTCTCTCAACCAGCTGGTGATGCTTTGCCTGATGCCCCCCCAGGACACGGTTGGCCCTCCTGGCTGCCAGGGCACTGCTGACTCATGTTCATCTTGCAACTCCCAGATCTCCCTCTGCAAGGCTGCTCTCCAGCCTCTTGTTCCACACTTTGTGTGTATAACCAGGATTACACTGTGCCAGATGGAGAATCGAGCAACTGCTCTTGTTAAACTAATTGTAGTTGGTGGTTGCCCAGCTCTCAAGTCTATCCAGATCTCTCTGCCCCCTACTCTCAAAGCCTTAAAGAATACTTAAATATCCTTAAAGAATACTAATTACAAACTTTTTTTCTACAAGAAAGCAAGCAAGCAGTATCTACAGAAAATACTATGTGTTGTCTGCTTCTCTAGTTCTCAGTCCAATAACAGATGTTTAGGACTCCAGATCTTCTAAAACTACATTTTCACTTGATTCTTTAATAATAATGAGACTTCCAAAGAGGCCAGAAACAGTGGCACTTGCGCACTATCAGAGAAGCATAAAGAAAAATCGCTCCAAAATAGTTTCCAACCTGTGCTTCATCAAAATGTAAGAAATGGAAGAGCCAACGCAGTTCATATATTGGCTTAGAAAGGTTTTAAGTATTGCTATGTACAGCTTAGAGGGATTCAGTCAAAACACTGGATTCATTTTGCCATATTTTATATCTTGTGATTTCTACAGGCACTAGTACAAACACTGTGTTGTCATGAGAAACTTCCTTTCTCATGTGAAAGTTCGAAGTAACTGAACTAATGTGAGTAAAATAAGGTCTGTTTCAGATCTTTAGTTTAACTCAAACCTTTCAAACTTTAAGTCTAGCTAGCTGTTAAGGTAAAAAAGGAAGTTTGGAAAAAATTAAGACCACATGAAGGATACTCTATTGATATTCTTACAGAATTTAAGCCCAATTTGAAATAAAGTACCGAAAATAAGCATATCTATCACCATATCTCTCCGGTTAATTTAAGAGCTCATGATGAAGAAATCTCTTTACTCATGAGATTGACAGCCAGACTCTTCAGGAAAGCCCCTGTAGGACCAGAGTAAGCTCTGCCAAAATGAATGGAGCCTCTGGAATTGAGATTTATTCTGTGTTAATGATTGAGGCAGATGATTTGGGGTAAGGTGTAAAAAGGATATTCACTCACTAAGTATTAATTTTCCAGAAAATACAATAAGAAGGTGAAGGGAAATATGAAATGGTTGATTCACGCTTTTGAGATGTGCGTCTCTCATTTCTGATACAAGTAACTGGTTCCTCTGAATTGCTCCCAGCAGCTTACACCATTCTCTTTTATGCAGGTAAGAGATTTCTGTGAAAGAGCTGCTACAATTATCAATGCTACAATTACTAAAATAAACAGTCATGTAAGAACAACAGCATAATTATCTTCCATATTGTCTTAGAACAGTTACTGATCAAACAAAATTTTATTGTAGCTTCAAGCCAGCACAAAGCTCACACTGAATTACCTACCATGATTTTATTTCTGAGCTATAAATATACATACCAAATGAAAACACACTGGAAAAGACATTAAGCGACAATATTTTTGTTGCTGGCTGAAATTAACATCCTCTTTTTACTCCTTAAAAGTAATTAGAGTAAGATATGTGTTTCAGAACCTTGAATAAGCATCAAAGGTTGGTTTTTTTCTTCTGGAAGAAGAGAATGATCTGCTACTTACATAGCATCCAGATTTGTCCCATTAAAAGCATGGCCTTGAATACTGGTAAAACCGTTATTGTAGAGTTTGCTGCAAGGAAAAAAAATATTAAATTAGTCTATTTTGGGTTGCTTCAATACCTGAATACCTAACATCTTATGTATCATTTTTTTTGGCAACAGCTCATTTATGGATGGGTTGATTTTAATCTCTTGAAGAAGAAGTAGTTATAGTGCAAGGTCAAACCAAATGCCTAGAAGCATTCTTGAATATACCTGATTCAAGGATACCATGTGGCAGGTGTGCCATGTTTTACCTCTTTCTACAGAAATGATAGAATGAGACTAAACCACTGTGCTATAACTAAAAGCAAGGAAACAAAATCCTTGTACAATTGATTAAGGAAGGCTAAAAGAACTAACAATTAGCAAAACAGGTCTGGTTTTACTATCAGGCGTGCCTGAATTTTTAGAGTTCATTCTTTTTCTCCCTTAGAGCAAAATGGGATTTTTTTAGAATTTCTTTAGAAGTCATTAATTTGCATTCTAGTGCTCTTCCCCCCCAGTTCAGGTCATAACTCATCACAGTAATTTTCACTCCCTTTCTTGTGGCTCACACTGACTACGACTTGCATAATTGAACTTTATTTAAGAATTTTCTTCCAAATATGACTCTTCTAATGTTTGCCATCCATTAGTTTTCATGGTATGAGTTATTTAGGTTGCAGAAAGAGTTAGACACAGTTCTAACCATGCTGTAGCTTTACAGGGGGAAAACTTTGCAAACTTTTTCATTTGATTTTCTCCAGTATAATCATTTACTGGCATTAGGGTCATACAAAACCAAAACCACTTTAATCAAGACAGTTTAAAGAAAAGCAGCAGGACTGGTTCAAATAGCTGTCAAAGTACAGGATTTATGCAAACTAAATTATGGATACTGCCTGTCTGTGGTGTTTCTCTGTTACAAACTACTGAAGAATAGGTCAGGGATAATTTCTTTTAAACATTTTACCATATGCATTATCAGAGAGGACATTGCTTTGTGTCTTAAACTGGAAGAACTTACAGGGTTAGAGATTCGTTACAAAGCCCATGGAAAGCATTTGCAGGCACTGAAGTCATATAAGGATTATCTGCAATTTCACTGAAAAAGGAGACAAAATATCACAATGAAACATCTGCCCAACAGAGCTTCTCCAGAACATCTTTGTTATTAATTTTTCTCTGCCTTGATAATAAATGAAAGTTTAAAATAAAACTTCATTTATTTAAATAAATACATTTATTCCATATATTTTAATTAATAATATTAAAATTAATAAAAAATAATTTTATTATATATTATAAATTTAAATTTATTTAAATAAACATTTATTTATTTATTTAAAAATAAATAAAATTTTTAAAGAATAACCTGTTTAGTTATATCTAAGGCCAGAATATACATGTGGAATGAAGAATTGAGCATGTTCCATCATCCAGGAAGAGAGTTTGTCAGGTGGATGGGTTTTGTAGTCCTGGTGAGGTGTACCAGCCTGTGTGATTATAGTGACTAATGTCACAGACAGGTCCCTGGTCTCATAAGCCAGAGAATTAGCAGACTGAATAATGCTGCAGTGTGAATTGAACAACCCAAAAGGCTTTAGAGCTGAAATCCTGCTCTCTAAGGTCAGATGAGACATCAGATAATACATTATCCAGGACAGAGGCATTGCACTTTACAGAACTGCATCTAGCACAAGTGAAATAACTTACTGTGGGATCTAATCTAATGATTCTTCTCTTGTCCAAATGACTATTTCATTATCTGTCATTTCTTAAATACTTTTTTAGTCCTACTCTGTGGTCTTAACAAATACTATGTATTTTCAGACCAAAACTCTATTGATAACAAAAGATAGAAAGAAGAACTGAAGAGATTTACTACAACTAAACTGGAAAAAGGAGAGAGAAAAAAGCTGGTAGATACAAAGGGCAGAGCAAAGTGTCTTATTGTCCTTCTGATTTTTCCTGAATCATATTATAGTCTGGAAACTGTTGCCGTGGGATTTATGGTGCTGAAAAAATCTCCCGGAGCAGTTAATTAGGGGTGAGATAAGAAAGGGTTTATTTGCCAAGGCTAAGATGTTACAAGACGCACACCCCTGTGCCCGAGAGGTTACATTTTATAATACCATCCATCCAATCCCAGAAGTGTCCACCCTGTGGCCTTTGCTCTGGACCGCCCCAGGGTCCACCCCCTGAGAAATGGGTCTGGGGGTTTTGGGACCCTGTGTTCATCCCATCTTTGTCTTCATCAGAGCACAAAGGGTACATAGTTACCCAGTTTTTGACTGTGTTCTGTGGTTTAGGACCTGATATGCTGTTCTGCCAACAGTCTAGGCCTTGCCTTGACAAAAGACTAAACATTTCTACTGGATTCAGGAGTAGGGATGATATAGGGAGCATAGAACGGGGTTAGAGGGTTAAGGAATGTGTAAACAAGGGTGCTATGGGGAAAGGGATGCAAGGGAGTGAGGGTTGCTGCTTTTAAAATCTACCTATAAAACTTACAAGGCTTACAAATATTAGAAAAATAAAAAAACATTAGGGGCTTAAGGCATCAAAACCAAAATATTTTGCAAATTTTTCTTTTCTTCAGCTTATAGATTAGATGTGGTCTAATAAGGCCAATCCCTAAGGTCCATAGACTGAGAAGTCCTAACAATTGCCCATGTGCCAGGAACAATTTTATTTCTTTTCTGTGCTATATATCTGCATACATATATGCTAACACTGAGCAGTACTACAGCCATTTTAATTCCAAGTAATTTTCACTGGTAGGTGGTTTTCACCAGAAGTTATATTGGTTTGATATTTTTCAGATTGGTTCGCTTTTCTAAATAAATGTTTACTTGTAAGTTGCTTGACCTCAAAGACAAACAGTAATATAATGCATGCTTTTTCCCCCACTATACCTTATTCATCATTTAGAGACCTATTATTTTTCAAGAGCATTTTTTTCTCGATTAAAGAAATAAAAAGGCTACCTTTCTTTGAATAGCAATGTTTAGAAATATACAACATAGAAATATCTCCCTTGAAAAAGTACAGGTCTACTCTTTAAAAAGTCTGTAGCATATAGGACCTATATTTATCTTTTATTAGTTATCTCTATCAAAAAAAATTCAAGGTAGAAGTAAAATAATGTTTTGCTTTCTGCCACTTTGAAAGGCACTGAGTTGGTTGGAACTAAGAACACAGATGGTTGTATAAATTACTTCTGTTTCATCTAGCCTATTAAATTCTTGATTCTCTCTACTTAGTAAGTGTAGTATCTAATTTACAATCTAGTAGAGCTCAATCTAAGCTAAAGCCTTTTTGGTCTTTGAGAAACTCCCTAATAGTTCTTAAGATATAGGTGTATCTCAGAGTTCTGAATCTTGGGGGCCTACAGCCAAGGTGAGCATAACAGCTGCAGGTTATGGAGTGTGAGTTAGAGCAAGGCCTACCTCTAGTTTTGGAAGATCCTTGGGAGGGAAGATCTCATGGCTTACTAGAGGTCTAGACTTTTTAGCAGAACAAGCAGCATTTCTACATTGTTCTCAGCTTCATCTTGCCAATGGCAGACCGTGAACACGGTAGGAACTGACCATTCTTGACCAAGAACACCCCTTAGGAGCACTGAGACAATGCCTGGGATAGATCATCAATTATGTCTTTGCAAGTCACCTTCTCACATAATACTGCTTATTTTTAATAGCCTTTTGCCTAGCACAGACAGCATTCAATCCTCTTCCATCTGAAAACTGCTACAATACACAAGATTTCTAACTCTTCTCTAGGACTGAGAAGTGACTAAGACACTTTTATCTTGTGTCAGCCTGCAGGTCTTCATCTGAGCTGCTCTTCTTCCTTGTCTTGATTACGATCCAGAATTTGAACTTAAATTGCAGGTTAGTGCACAAAGATGGATGTTGTCTTTGCTTTTTGAATACCAAGAAACACCTGCTTTTTTTTTTTTTTTTTTAGAGTTCAAAGCAGAACTCTGTGTTTCTGAAACACCTTTAAGTATAACAGTGGGAGACCTCCTCTTCCCCATTGGTATTCCCATTCTCTTTCTTAAAGAAATTGTTCCACAATTTGCTTCACCATGCCGGCATAAATTTGTTGGAAGAATGTCGATAGCATGATAACTTCATGTTAACAGGATGTATGCTAGCTCAGGTCCTGTGTGTCACATTGTTCTGACTTCACATTAATTCAGGAATTGCACAGCCATTACAAAACCAAAACCAAAATAAAAGCAAAAGGCCTGTAGAAGTTGTGTATCATGAATGCTCTTGTGTGTCCATGTCTCTAATCCAGATCAAATGTATTGTGCTAGGTGACCTGGCATTTCCCGCGTTGGGTACTAATGATCATTTAAATAAAGCTTGAGGAAAACTTCTTTATCAGACTTGATATTTTTCTTAAAATCAGAATCCTTCATTGTAGGTTTCTTGGGATCTGAGGATGGCAGTTATTCTAACCAGTTGTGAGGACGGATACTTACAGTAAAAAATTCACATCAAATGAGTAGATTTTTTTGAGGTCTGGAAATACTTTGAGTCCAGTATTGAAAATACCACTAAAAGAAAGGAGAAACAGAAAAAGTTACATGTACTGGATCACTGAACAACAACAAAAAATGTATTTAAAGTGTTTGACAATGTGGGATGGTTATTTCATCCTCTCTATTGTCAATTGATTCATTTATAATCAACTGTCCAAAAAAAAAGAATGCAAGAACAATTGAAAAAATTCAAAATAACAGATTTATGATAAATTATGGCATCTAAAAAATGGGAATATGGACTAATAAGACAGCTAAGCAGATTTGCAGAGGGAAGTAGCTTGTGAGGTTTCACTTGAGAGTTTAAGGCTGCTTCTGCTAATAGTCTGGACCCCCAAATCCTCTATCTTTCATTGTGGTTAAGAGCTGATCATATAGCTCTAAAAAGGGAAACTGTCTTAAAATGTGGATATGCTTAATGCTCCTTCTTTCTCAACTCCTGTATAGTGGAAATAACTTAAAAAAGTATAATTCTCTATCTTTAAAAGTATTTTCTTGAAATGAAATTTCTTGACTACTTTCTTTTTTTATTACTTTAATATCTATAGGAGAAACCTGGGGCACTCCTTGCCCCAGCCCCCCCCCCACACACACAGAGAATCCTTCCTAGTGTCTTCCAAACATTACTCAAAATCAGAGAAGTTTTTTTAGAAATTCACTGGAATTTTTCACAATTTCTTTCTGCCATAGATGTTGTATGAAATCAGGTATATATAGGTGGGCTTTTCACATTTGACTGACAGGTTTGCTTTAAAATCCTGTGTAAATATCTAGCAAAAAGATAAGTATATCTCTATTGTGTCCCTTCTTCCCACTATTCCCTACAAAAATAGAGTATGACAGCACTTATCATAAGAAGAAAGTTGCTGCGGAATTTTGTCAAGGAACATTAGTGTGTTCTACATATTTAATCAATAAGACAAATGCAAAAATTACTGATGAATTTGTGAATGTTTTCCTTTCTTACAAAAGTAGTAAAAATTCCAACCCATACCCTATCTGGCTTTCTGTCATTAAAGTAAAGCAACAGGGAAAAACATGGTGATCAGTTCCAAAATTAAACGTAACGAAACAAAACTGCTATAATGTAAGGAGTCATCTGTGAGATTTAAGTGCCAACTTGTTACAGGTGCTAAATACTTACAGGTATTTCAAAACTGGGAGGTTCTTAAATGCATCTGGATCTATGTAATCCAAGTTTCTAAGATTTCGAATTTCACTGTAAAAAAGGGAGGAATATTAATAATTAATATTTAACTACTCATCCCAACAGAAATCAGAAATGAATTTTCAGGGACTTAACTCCTGCAACAAGCTTTTTGTGCTAGCCAATGCTAGCCTAAGACCATTATGTATTCTGAGCAATCTTACAGTGATGCATTATCATCTGGATAGATGCCATCCTGGAGACTGGCTACTTGAAGCAAGGGGGTAAGAAGCACCTTAGATTTGATTATGGATCCTTTGTCTGCATGGTCCTAAAATCAAAACAAGTACCCTGTGTTAATGGCTATTACTTTGAACACGGTGTTTTGTGACTACAAAGTTGAATAAAAAGAAAAATTAAGTAAAACTTTCAGTATTTATGTATAATAATCCTATCAAATTACTAAGACCTGTATAGCTTATAATTTTATGTTCTATTTTTCTGGTTACTTTCTCCATGTGTCTAACAGTATTTTGTGTTATATTTCCTGTTTCTTTTTCAGAACTCATCAAAAGATGGCTCAGGTCACTTAAATTAACTTTGTTCTGAGATTTGAAATGCACACACTATTCGCTGTATAGCCATGTCCAGCAGTTTAGAGGATAGTGTACCTCTGCTATGTAATGACACAAAACATAACATGGGCTTCATTCCTTACATCTTCTGCCCATGGTTATGTCTTTAAATACTTCTACCCAGGCAACAGCTTGGTGTACAAGTAGCTTTTTAGTCTGCACATGTTGAAAAACCAGCCTGACACTAGTCACAGCTATGGCCATGATGGGTGCTTTCCGTAGGTGTTTTGATGGGGCTGCTGCCCCTCCAGCCATCATGATCATTGCCTGGAGTCATGACTCTTCCCCATTTCTCTGAAATGTTTGTCTCTTCCCTTAATGTAATTTCCCTCAATCATTCTAATTCCTCTATTTTCCAGCAGATTTCTTTCTTTTCTATCCACAATGACAGTTAGCAGTCTGCCTGCACCAATCAGACTGTGCCAAAATTCCCTGTCTAGACTCAGTAGAGCTACTGGATTTTCATCTTTTATTAAAAAAGTCACACATACCCTCCCATCACATGCAGACTTTTAATTTCCTGGCTTCTTTACTGTCTCCAGAAGATTATGAACATTTATGCATATTTTTTTCTATTTCTTTACCTTAAGCCAGCTCTGGACACTGGTCTCATAACACTGCTGGAACAACACTCAGCCTTTCTTAATACAGAAAACATATAGAAAGAATGGTGCCAGTCTTCTTCCTGATGCTAGCAGTGGAGCAATAGGCTGAAGAAAGCACTTCTGCTTACATATATAGAGAAATTTGATGAAGATGACAGGTAAAGATGGCATAGTGGTACAGGTTATGTGGATGATGTTCTGGTCTTAAGTCAGTCCAAGAAGTGCTACCACTGGACAGAAACTCAGTGGGCAGAAGCCAGTAGTATTTAATTTGCCATGGCCTAACAGTGCCAAGTAATCTACACAATATAAGAATCAGAAAATCAGAGTTTAAGGCTAACCATACCACTGGAATTATTTTTACAGGATAAAATCAACCCAGACAAGTTGTCTAAGAAATAAAAGTGGGAAAAGAGACAGAAGACAGTAGATAAAACAGTATGTAGATGCTGGTACGAAGACTTCAACCTCTCTATATACTGTTGTACTGACAAAACAGTCCTGCTCCACCTTCAAGTCTTCAGTTTGTATTCTGTTTACTACAACACTGCAGAGAAATGAGGATTTACTTTTTACTTACATGTTAAATTGATATAATTAATAGCTATAGTACTGCTACTATAGTGCTGCATTCAAATATTCTTCATGTCTGTTAGCTACCTTGAACTGTAGATGTGTTTCTGTATTTAAAATAAACCCTCTCAGTGTCAGTTTCTTGTCTCTTTCAAATTATTTTATTAGTTATGTAGCTATCACACTACCAGCAGTGGAACTTGCTCAATAAACTTTAACTGACGTGTTTTTTCCATCACTGACTGCCTTCAAAATGTTGGACTCATGAGCTTCCTGGCCTGATACTTCTCTGTTGTGGACCAAACATTTTCCAGGGAAAGACAGTGTTTAGATCAGCCTCCAGCCTGGAAATGGATAATGCATTGGAGTATCACAGAGTCATGAGGTTTTGGTTTGTTGCTATTCATAGTATTCTGCATAAATTATTTGGATGAGAGTACTGGAAGTAAGAATTCAAAATCTGCAGATGGTACTAAAATTGAAAGAACAAAATAATGTAATGAGATACAATTTTGGTTTATTAAATAACTGGGCCATGAGAGGACATGTGCTGTTTAAAAAAGGCAAATGGAAACCTAATTAATCTGGGAATAAAATATTTTAAACTGCCAGATGAGACAGCACAACAATGAGAGAAAAGCTTAAACCACGTGAGCAAAGGAATCAATATGATTCAACTGAACACTGGGGAAAGGTTTATGTCCCTGCTGTTCAATTTACTTGAATTGGTAATGCTAGGATTAGAAAAGAAGTATGCTTTAATATATACTCTTTTTATACTTGCATTTCATCCTACACTTCATAAAGCCCAAAAGGAAGAAAAGGGCCCATTGTAGAGCAGATAGACAGTTGCGTAGAAGTCTCCAGTCAAAATAAATGAGACAGAGGATAAGAGAAGTATAAAAAGGTAAAAAGTGATTTGACAAAAATGAATGTTATGCTTAAAGAAAAAAATGAGGAGGAAAATCCAATTATCCCTACTTCTAGTCCAGTCAAATGTACCTCCTGCATTTAACTGGCCTGAATATGTGGCCTCTCATCTCATCTGCATGAAAAAGAGAAAGATCTTCAGTTCCATTAATGAACTGTACTTCTGCCCTTGTATTAAACATTTAAACATCGTTACTCTTAGAGTACTGGAAGGAATTCCCCTGTAAAATCACAGATTTAAAGGATATCTAGTGCTCCACTGATAAAGGAGCCTATGAAATTAAGTTGATAAGGAGAAAAGATATTTTAATAGTTCTGAGCTCATCAGTTAACAGCATATTGATACACAAACTGAATTTTACAATTTCTTTTACAGTAATCCATCATGAGTAATATACTCAAAGGTGCATAAATGTTATATGATACTAATTTTCAAATTGTAATCAAAAGACTCCTGTGGATCCCAAAGGATCCATAAAGCTAAGAAGAGCAAGCTGATTATCAGTAAATTCATTAAGCAGGGTTTGCACTTTATCATTTAGCTTTTATGGATTGGTGAATTGAAAAGATTGAAACTCACTAAATTAAAAAGTTAAGGTTCTTTGAAAAGCAGCTCTAGGAAAACTATTAGTAGACTTAGCTGCCTAAAATGCAGATAAAGCCAAAGAGTATACTTAAAAATGTCTAGTAAGCTAGTTCCCAGATATCTAAGTGTCTATGAGAACTGATTTTAAATGACTTTTTAAATGCAACTTTGACACACTCTACAAACACAGCTTAATCATAACATACAGCAATGTAACAATTCTGAGTTCTTCTGGGAATTAAGTGCTTTTAAGATATAAAAAAAATCTGAGACAGTTAGTAGCCATCTTTGTTCACCATTGATGCAAGAAGGCAAAAGGTGCCCTGAACAAACATTGCACTTTGCAGTCCTAACCAAAATTACTTAGAGATGCTCATAAGAAAGAGGCTACTACCTACTCACAAGATAACAGAATTACTGTAGAATATTTAGAACAGAATTGTTCAAAGTTACTTTACAAACTATTCAACTTCTGCTCTATTTTTAGAAGTGCATAAACCATTTAAAACTGACCTATTTGTCCTTTAAAGACAATTGATGTTTTACAGTTGATGTTCTGGCGTTCAGACTAGGAAATAAAAATGTACTAAGTTCACAATCAAATCACCGCGTGATTGTCCATGAACAGCAACTCAGTTTTGCTTTTTAAAGAAAACACACAAAAAACTTTATCATGTCAAGAACAGATATGCAGAGAAAGTCACTTAATGATATAAAGACATATGTCAAGACTTACAAATAATTATGAACTGATGTTCAGTTACAGAGATATAACTGTTTAGTTCTAAATCCAGAAGAATCTAAAAATGAAACTAATAATAACTATTCAAATATTAGTCTAATTAATTAATTGAGTCATATGTTTGCCAGGTAACTTCTAGAAATATTAATATGCTACTTAACATTCTTTATTAAAAAAAACACAAATATTTACATATTTAATTGGATTCCAAATTTCATTTACCAGATCTGTTTTTCATATCTGCCTTGCGATATTGACTCATCCTTGAGTTTGTTTAAGCCCAGTATTCAGAAATTACAAATCTGGCCATCATGGCTGGGCTTCGCGAACAAAGATTTGGGAAGGGCTCTACCCACATTTGCTACAAACGCGCTGGTGGCTAAAGAGGCCAATGCGAGATAGACAAGACTTTGCAAAAGGCACAGCAGAAAGACTCCTTGGATGGTAAAATCTGGCCACAGAGTAGCAATATAATCATGTTATGCTGAGATACCTGGAAAGACTAAGGATATCCAGGTCAGAAATTCTGAAGTGTTTTAAATAAGCTCTTTTTTTCTCTCTTGTAATAACTTGGGGCCCTTCTCTACCATCTTAGATTTATTTTGCCTATAGCTTCCTTGGCTTCTCTCACTTCTACATCTACTTCCATGTTTTATTCTCCCCCTACAGACAAACTATTTATGTTATTTCATCTGCATGCACCTGTCCAGCCTTTGCACCACTGGCACCAGAAAACGGGCTTAGGCTATTCCAACAGTCTATTCCCTGCCTCCAGACTGTGGATTTTAACAAGATTTTTCTGCACAACACTGCACAACTGTGCCCTGAAATTCACTGCAGGTATACAGCAGTCCCCCACAAATCTCTTCAGTTTTCCTCTCTAGTTGCTTGTTATATATTTATTATCACTCTTTCTTTCTGCAGAGCTGTATCCCATGGCCTGGCATCACAAGCTGTCCAAGGGAAGTGCACCCCTGGCCCGGAGGATGGTGGGGCTGCCCTGGCCCTTGGCTCCATCTCACTGCAGCTCACTGCAGAGCTAGAGAGTGGTCCCCCACCAGCTCTCCAAATGACGTCATATACGTGAGGGCAAACCACTTGAACCACAACCTTTGTGCCTCTTCCCAAATGCTGAGAGAGCTTTTTATGTGGTTGTATAAGAGGAGAATACTTTCCAAGTGAGGAGAAGAGAGTAGGGAGAGATCAGAGAAGAGAGGAAAAGAAAGAGTGAATTTTTCTGGGGTTCCTTTCACAGGAATGTTTCCCTGAGAAATAAAGACCTAATTACAAAACGTTTTTATTTAGTGTGATGCTACCAAGCTGCAGCTCTACTAGTAAAACAGCCATGTAGAAATACTGACTCCTTATCAGACACTTTCACAATTATATCTAGAAAAAATAAATACTTATGTAATTGTGTGGGACAGTTCTGAATTTGTAAGCAGGTTAACTTTGACTTACAGATATACTTAAGAAACAAGAAACCATTGTGAGACCAATTTAACACAACTGGGGAAAAAAACCAAAACATCGAAATCTTGTCCCTTATTCACATCTTCATTGTGTGGGACTTTTGTCATTACTTACAACTGAAATAAGATCTGGCTCATTAAAATACGGCATGTGATCAGTATCCTTAGTTTGCAGAAGTCGCTCAGTACTTGAAAAGCATAGATTCATAAAAATATGACCTATACTTAGAGAGAGCTGAAGTCTGGAAGGAAAAGAAAATCAGGACAGAGATGCATGAACCAAATAAGGACCAAGAAAATGAATTGCTGAAGATCAAGGCAGAAGCACACTACTAAACTTGGCAGACAGGATCATGATGAACACAGGTTGCCTATTCACATAACACTTGACTCAAGCCAAAGCAATTAGTTCCTCCCTTCCACAAACACTAAATTTTCTCCTAAGAAGTTCTTATATTTAAAAACAAATGTTTTTAAAATGAAACCCTGTGTATAAGTTTAAATTAGGGTTAAAAGATTATTTTTATTTACGTAAAATTGCACTTTAGGAAAGTTCAATGTAAAACAAGCTGTAAAAATGGAACTCTGTGAAATGACTTTTCAAAACCGTTAGGGTAACCTCAATCTCCTTTAAAATACCTTGATAACCCAGTATTATTTCAGCAGTAATAATTTGAAAATACTATGTAAATGGAGAACATTATTCAAATGGATAGCACAACATATAAATTTAGCCCCATATAGTTCTGTTGTTTGGAAAGTAAATCCAACAGTGATAAGTGTTAACAAATCAGGAGTTATGGAAGCAATTCATAAAAATTATCATATTTATAAATTGTTTTCTATCGCATCTTATATGCAACCATCTAAGTTACCAGATGCCTGGATATTCCCTGATTAAATGATAAATGTTTTCCAAAACATATTTTAAAAACCTGGTAAGCACTTTTGAGTGGTAGAGCCCTTCTTTGTGGGCTATCTGCAAATCCTGGGGGTTTGCCTATGACTTTTGTGAATTCTGATGTAGTTCTGGGTAGTATTTTTGACTCTTGTGCAGAAGAAAAAATAAAACTTATATCTTGTATGTCTGTGTACAGTTGCTTTTTCGGTAGTGCCTTGTGAGATATATAAGGGGTCCACATTACTATACCTCTTGTTATAGCAGATCAGGAAGCATTCTCACCATGTCCTTCCCACAGCCTGTGCTATAGGTGATGTGAGTGTAGGTGCCCGTGAACTCTGCTGACTCCTGCCCAGGCCTGCAGCTTCCCAGTCATGGACAGCACATCCAGGCCTGGGGTCTGGCAGGGTGTGGTAATGCAGTTTTTTGGAACCTTCTGGTGTGCCCTCCCTTCATGGGAGCCATGGCAGAGGCCTGCTTATGGCAAGGGACACTGGCTGTCCTCCCAGGCAGGCATCTAAACATGCTTTGGAGGCAGTCAGAGATTGGAAGAGGATGAGAGAAAAGGCTTCTACTCATATTCCTCATCAGCCTTTAGATAGCAGAAATTAGTGCAAATTAGGCAGTGTTATAGAATATATCACAAGAATGAGTGCCTTGGGAGGCACTGGCAACACCAGAGCTCCATCCACCACTCTGTCAAACTGGTGACACATTAAAAAGTGTGCGTTTTGTGGAACAGTTCTTTATACTCAAAGGCTTACATTATATTACTCTTTGAAGGAAATTAATTTTGTGTTATGAATTCGATCTCCACTTGGACTCTAATACAGAAACAATAGAAAACAGCTATCTAGCCAGCTGTCTCCTTTTTCCCTAATCTGTCCTCAAGAAGCCTTTGCATCCATATAAGATAAAAACAACAAGCTACTACACTGCATATTGCATGGAAGAATCCTACAATGAAATGCGATGGCCCAAGAGCATTTTATCTTTAACTTCTAATAAAGTGAACTACAAAAGAAGTACCAGATGAGGAATTTGTAGCACATAGTGGCAAATGCTTTATTCATCGCTGATAAAATGTGCTGCCAGTAAATGTTTCATTAAATGTTCATTTGTATTAAACAAGAAATTCTAAAGACACAACAACTGTGAAAGAGAACATGAACACAACAGATCTGGAAAAAAGAGCTACAGAAGAAGGAATGGTATTATAACCAAAGAAAAGTAGTGATATTACACCAAAGTCTTCCTGTGAAACTCTTTCGGGAATACTACTGGAGCATGTTATTGGACTGAACTAGGTCTCAGAATCCTACACTGTGCTTCTAGCTATGTCTGCCAGGTTCTCTTAGAGGAGTCACTTACACTTCCCAGCATTAGTTTCTCTCTATCTTCAGTAACAGTAATGATATTTTCTCCTGTAACTTTATTAGTCTTTCTTTTCACACTGTGTGAAGTAAAAGGAAAAAAAATCATAGAAAACAGAGTAGTGTTAAGTTGATAATTTAATTCAATTTCTTTCTCTGAGTGAAGATTAAACAGATTTATGAAGTTTCTGATCACACAGCCTTGAAGGCCTGCAGTGATGGGGAAAACAATTCTAGTGTTTACTTAATGCCAGCCATACTAAAACACTTCCTACAGTCTAACATTAATTTCATATAATCTAATTTAACCTTATTATTACTTTTTCTTTGTCAAACATCAGAGTGGAAAATGGGTGGTAGGTTTCACCCCTTGCAACAACCTTAAATGATATATCTGCCTCGGGCATGTTTTCTTTCTGGACACAGAAGCCTTTCCTCTCTGACAATGTTTTCGGGATCCATGATGACCAACAGTGCTCTCCCATGGAACCTCTGCAAACAAAAGTCTTCTCTGAAGTATGACAAACTGTAGCTCATCCTGATGAGCTTTACAACAGTGGCATACTTTCCATTCCCTCCTCTGGATCAATGATGGAAACATGGAAGAGTACCAGATACAGGATGGATCCTATGAAGCTCTCTTTTCAGTACATTACGTTCTCATTTTAACAGGGTCCTGATGAATGACAGGAACTCTCTGGATGCAGGTATCCTACTATTTCTGTAACTATCCTAGTACATCATTTGCTGAGGACCATCAGAACAAAGAGGTATAAAAACACTTCCCAGAAGCCTTTTTCCATATTATTCCCATTCTATATAATAACCATATAAACACTCTTCATTATACTAGTGTATTTTCAGAATGATTACTTATTATTCTTCATGTCTCCAGCTAGTGCCATTTTGCTCTGTGCTTTGGCCCTTCTGATTTTATTTCTGGTGCTTATATTACCGTTTCACACTTACCTGCAGCAGTTTGAAAGAAGTGATTTTTAACTGCCATTTTATTTCAACTTGCCATCAGTCTTGTGATGTAGCCCCACATATTTTCACTATATTTACCTACATTTCTAAGGGAGGATACAGAAGAGCAAGGAAACAAAAAAGATGTATGGAAAGAAAGCATAACAAAATTAGCTCAAAAAAGACTTACTCATTCCACATTATGGAGAAAGGAAATGAGAAAAGGAATATTTAGCTATAAAGGAGACAGGAATGACAACTCAAACATCACCATGTATGTTATTTCCACGCATCTCAAATTTATCTCATTGCTGTATTCATTTATTTAATTACAGTACTTACATGTGAGTGACTTTACTTAGACTGTTGAAGGAATGGGCCTCCAGACTCTGAAGTGTTTCATCTATAGAGATGTAGCTAAACACCAACAAACAGAAAAATAAACAGGTCTCAGACATTGGGAAGCCACTGCTAGCACCCATCATACCACTTCATTTTTCCTCTCATTATTTTTCTCATCCACCTATCATGACACTACCAGACACCTGGACAGTATCTGAGGGACACACTTTTAAAATCCTTTTAAGGATTTTTATTTTGACTGATGCTGTAGATGCACATTATACTGCAGAATACAGTGAAACCAAAACAACACACAACGGTGCAAAGTAGCAGCAAAAGCAGACACTAATATTTTACAGTTCGGCATCATATTTCTTTCCTTTTTCCTCACTTAAGATCACCTTGGATATCTCCAGGGGGAATCTAGGCCTCAGGTAAATTGGCATATTTTTCTATATCAAAGAACTAAAAAAAGGAAGGAAAGAAACAGAAATTATCCTTGGGCCACCACTGCAAAAACTGTTGTAATTTCTGTAGAGAGAGACAGGTCATCAGGGCAACTGGCGCTTTGATTGCTGAGTAAAAAAATGTGCTAAAGCATGAATTTAGAGAGAAACTCTAGCCACATAGTGAGTGTCATAGAGGATATAAAGAGTAATGTGGCTCAGAAAGCAAGCCAGACAGCAAGCTTAAGAAATATTTATTTGCACGCAGTTCAGTCTGCGTTGCATTTGTACTAATGGTGATCTATGGAATGTGATGAGAAAATAGCTCTACAGAGCCTCTTCACACTCATTAAGAGAATGATAACATTGTAACTATTGTTACATGCTTTCCCAACCAGCAGATGGCTAATAGCACTAACTGGATGGGAATTTATGTCTTTTCCAGACTGGAGCTAAAAGCATATTACCTGAATTAATTTTAACTCTTTAACTATGAGATTTATTTTGTATTGATCACTTTGGCAATGTATTCAACTGTCTTTGAAAAGATACCAGAAAAGTAACAGGTAGAGATTGCATAACTATCAGATTCTCTTTCTAGAGTACTATTGTTTTTCCAAAGCTATTTGCCTCTTCCAAAAGGTGAGAAAATAATAAAAGAGGAATACAATAAAAAAGTATTCCAGTCTGTACCTCTGTGATTGAGTATTGCAGAGTTAGATGTTTATATGAGATGTTTTAATTTTGTTCTCCTGTAAGTAAGAACGTCTGTTGCCTGGGAAATTGGGGGTTCAGTCTTGAAAGAAAATTAATTATTCGATTCCAACAGACCCTACATTTTAACATACCAAAAGATAGGTTATGTTAATGACATACTATAAAACATAAAGTTGCTATATGTAACAAACAGAGATATGTAAATCAGTTTGACAGAAAATGAAATTAAAACCAGATAATGAACAGAGATTGCAGCCTCATGTCAGGGCTAGAAAGTAGGAGAGTACTTTTTTTGTGCTCTGTAGTCAAAATGAGTCACCTCACGTCAGGCAGGCAGGTGCTTTTCTCTCACGATGAGAAGAGGCAGAGAAGAGGATTCCCTCTCCCTTCCCTCACCCCTACAGCCATCATGTGCCTTCCCACGATGATTCATGTCACATTTTTACTATATACTGCCTGACTTGGGCCTAATTGAAGTATAGTTTTGTATTTTTCAACTGTGGGATGCAGTGGGAAGGAAATAGCTTATTTTCTTCATGTGTTGACCTCTGCTCTTCTGCTTCATATATATTTGAGTAAATTAATTAAACTACACCATCACTGATGGCAGGGAAATGAGTAGTTTTATTTGCTTTAGGGTCATGTAGATAGATACCCAAACCCCCCGCAAACACACTCAAAATCTCCTCTGAGATGGGGATGTCAAACAGAAGCTTGTGTTAATGGCACATAAACATTTACTTCTAAGTGTTCAGAGTGCCTCCAAATATCTGTGGGCTCTGCCTGTTGAACACATAGTATCACATATTAAATGTAAGCAATAAAAATCATAGTAATCAGAACTGGAAGGAGTTGCATCAGAAGAACAGGGAAAGCATGTTTAAATTCCCATTTTGAATGCATGTTCCTATTCAGCACTTCCTCTGCCTACCAGCTGTGTTTAAATTGCAGGATTTCAAAATGCCTTCAACACTCATCATGACTGCATTGATAGCTTAAACACCAAATGCACAGTTTCAGAGGACGTCTATTTCCAGACAACACTTTAATCACCATTGCCCATTCAGAAAGAGCCTGAGAGCACAAGATTTGTCAGATTGAGCAGCCACAAGGCCCCCTCCCAGCCCTTATTTTCTTCCTTCTCCCTCTCTCCACCTTTTTTGCTTTTTTCCAGCCTCAGCATCCCCTGTGTTGCAGGAAAATGGTGCATGGGGGAAAATGTGCTTTGCATGGAGCTGCTGGCAGAGAGCACTGTGGGATGCAACGTTGTGTGGAGAGGCTATGGAAAAAACACTTTGGGGAGCTACAGGTCAGGTGTCTCTGAGGTACTTATGAATGTGACCCCAAAGCACCACCCTAAGCCCAGGAAAAATGTTCCCTACCCCTGCCTTTAAAAATACTGAATGTTCAATGTGTCCTTAAGTCAGTAGGAAACACCGGGTGAAGCCCTTCTACCAAGATTTAATGTATTTGCATCTTTAAGGATGTAAACCAGAAATGTCTCTTGCATTTGAATATCCTATGAAACCATTTTGTATTCAGTGATGCCTTTTTGACAGGAGTTAGCTTTGCAGTTGAGCATGTAATTAAAACGCTTTTTCTTTCATTCCTGTGGAAAAGCAGCACAGGGAAACAGTCTCTACTTCTGGTTATCAAGAGTACATATATATGCATTCATTTATGAGAACCTGTAGCTCTAAAATTTCTGTTTGAATAAGGTTCATAAAGAGGACAACTACATTTTCTATTCAGTACAGAGGAAAAAAGTGTTTATTTGTGGAAATCATATAGTAGAAACCATATAGTAAAATGAAGTGCTGTAATTGGAACAGTAAACACAATCTATATCACCCTATTGAAACTTCAGAACATTTTCTAGATGTATTTACAAAACCAGGAATGGTCTGGTAATTTTCATTGCTGATGGAAATTATGGGCTAGGAGAAGCAAATGAGAAATGGCACCTTAGAGGCCAAGACATACACGTAAGAGCTGTAGTTAAAATACAGGCACTGGTTCTTTAACCTGAAGTTTATATTAAGAAGGTGGGAGATAATGTTTTGTGGTAGTAGTAATGCCATAAGAAGTATCCAGACAGGCATTGACACTATTCAGATGTAAACTTCTGGGTTTGGAGGTTTTGGAGGCATCTTTAGAGAAAGGTTCCCTAAATTTTTCAGATGAACACCTGTTCTTTTATAAATTCATAAATATTACAATTTTAAAGATTTAAAATCTGAAAAGCCTCTAGGCAATGTATTAGGTGTCACTGAAAGACAAAGAAGAGTTGACATCCTTTTACATTGAATCAAAATCTGTTCTAAACAAAGTTTATCATGTTTATATATGATATATGAGGGATATTCCCTTCCTCCCTCCCCCGCCCCAAAAACTCCCAACAAAACAATACACCATTTACCATCTGATTAAAGTGAGGTGGTAAATGAGGCTGTAGATATTCAAGAATGATTACTTATAAGGATTTTAGAAAGTCATTACTTCAAAACACCTGAATGAAACTATAAAATATAATGAGGCAGACCACATTCCCCCAAAGTCTTTTTTTCATGAATTCTTAAATGGTAGCTATTCAATCAAAGCTCATATAGATTTGAGACTTGCAAGGAACATCAAGGGCAAGAAGAAGAATTCCTATTGCTACATTAGTAATGAAAGGCTGAACAAGAAAAAAGTGGGCCTCTTGCTCAGTGAGATGGTTTATTTACTTAACATTGGCCACAGATAAAGCTGAGCAGCAGACTGATAAAAACCTGAGCATTCTGGTTGGATCTCAAAGTTGGCCCAATTTTGAGCACAGACTAGAGGCCTCCTGAAGTCCCTTCTAAATCACTCACATGGCTCTGATTCTAGGGAGTGAATTGGGAAATGGCAGAGAAATTCCCTGCATCAAATAGTCATGGACGGGATCACAGATTATGGGCCAGCCACCAAGAATAAACAAATGTGGGACAACCTTTTCTCAGGACTGCTGACACCAACGAGCGGTGCAGTGCAAGGGTGGCTATTGAGGAATACGTTCAGTGCAGGTAGCTCAGTGTGCAGCTGCAGTGCCAGCTGCAGACTGAGCTCTGGGTGGTGGGATCCTGAGGCAAGGGGCCATGGAGTGCCAACCCTTTGCACAACAAAGAGCATGGGGACTTCTGGTGCCAGCCAGGGAACCTGGCCCAGCAGAGACACAGCAGGACCCCAGACAGCGAGGGTATAAAAGCTCAGGGATTTCTTTGTTTGGGGTCCCTCCTTGAAGCCACCCAATTCAAGCTGTTATTCTGTTGTTAAGTTATTGACCAAGATTAAACTATTTGAAAGATCTGGACATCTGACACTCTTATGGGAAATCTGGGGTCCTGTCGGTAAGGAAACCCGGTCTGACTGTGTGAGTGCAGGGTGTGTAGCTCCCAAGGGATCTCAAGCCCAGCTCCAGGTAGTGTGAGAGTGACTACCAGAGTGTCTCTTGGGTGGTAGGACAGGGAAGTTTCTTTAACATAGCCACCTTCAATGAGACAGATGTTGATATGAGGCAAATAGGTAGAGGCTGCTGGTTCTGCTTTTGTGGACTGTATCCATGCATATGTTTGCACACAAAGGCAGAGATCCCTCTCACATCACACAAATACTAATATTTTGGTGAAAGTTCACCTCTAGTCTAGAAATGCTCATGGTCTCCAATGAGATGAGTTACAAATCATGCTGGCAGCTGGAAACAAATTTTTAGCCAGGACCAGGAACTGAATATGTTAATTTTTTATGAACAAAAAAAATCCCCATAATTTGCAGACTGAAAAAAAAGTTTTATAGCCTTATTTATCACATTGGCTTATTCAATAAAGTGGTGGTCTTATCCATAAATGCCTAGAATGCTTTCCTATAGCTGGTTCAGGTTATTAAAAGGATTATTACCCGCAGATCTAAAATGTAAGTGGTGAGGTAACAAAGGTGTAAGAATATTTTTATTTCACAAGTTTTTGTAAGACAGAATCTTGGAGAAGGAGACTGATTTTTAATAAAATAGCTAAAAAAATATCAGAAAGAGAACTTACATCCTAGAGATGTTGGGGAGATTGGAAAAAGCGTCACTTGGAATTGTTCTTAGGTGAGTCTCCATAAACCTCCTAGAGGAATAAAAGTTTGTCAGTTAATATCCTTTGAGAAGTACAATTTAACATTAAAACTTCACCTCTGCTGCAATACTTTTATTCTTATCTTTCCTTTTCCCAGTGTTGCCTTCTTTGCCTCATTTCTATTCCTATTCCCTTATGTGGCTTGCTTTGTTTGGTGCGCTCCCTCAATCTGAATTACAGCCTTCTGCATCATCTCTCCTAGGAACTCAGCAGTCAGTGGTGATCCACTCAAATGGACCTCCCAAAACTCCAGAGTATGACCAGCAAATATATTTGCACATTGAAGGCAATGAGACAAGACACATTTTTTTGATCATTTCAGGCTCCACAAAGATATCCCATCCCTCATTCTGAGCAAGAAATTCAGGTATACCACCCAAAACTGAATTGGAGCAATTGCATACTACCTCCACAGAATTCTCCATTTTCTTTGTCATAAATGCGACATTCTTCCTCCCTAAACTGCTGATGTGAGAGTGGCGTGTACCTTACCCATCTGCAGGAGATTTTAGAAAAGTAGGCAATATTTGAGGGAGATACTTATCAACAGCCAAGTTCTTAACAGAATGAATCTCCAGCAGACTGACTACTCTAAAAAAACAAGGACAAAATGCTTTAGAAAATCAGCTTATGATATCTACTGAATTTACAGTTACTACCTGTCATGATTGGATTAGGTAATCTTTGGTTTTCCAGTACAGTTTGGGAATACACTTACATAATTTCTAGTCAATGAATAGTCTGAAGAACAATCAAGAACAAATGATAAACTTTTCCCAGAGTGGCTGTTTAACAGCAGGTCAAGAGAAAGGAAATAAATCAGAATTATTCCCTAATTCTGTTTCCTGTTTCATAATGTGAAGTATCTGATTACTATAATTATATTTGATTTAAAGAGACAAAAATATTGTCATCTTAAGATTTATCACGCTTCTGGAATTTGCATACAAGAAATAAAATTATCTGTAGAAATTCTTAAAACTTTCATCTTGAATAAAAATATAAATTAAGAGAATGTACCTTCCTATAATCCCAAGGGAAGTCTCTACTTCCCAAGTATACCTCCCCTACTTCATGTACTCATTACAAGAATGAGTAAGGAGAAGGTAAAGACTTCTGCTTTTCTAACAGTATGTTGATGTTTCTCCTGACCTCAATACACCTGGCTCAAACCAAGCCCCTGATCAGGGGAATGTCAATTACCAGTTGCTTATTCCCCTGCACTCATAGCACTGTGATACTCACACCAGTGCTCTCCCATCCTTCTCCATCCTCCATTTCATACTATTGCTTCCTTCTATTATCACAGTCCTAGACAAAAAAATTGTAGAGAACAGCTGCTTAGTCCAGCCTGCTGATCTTACTGTTCTGTTTCAAAATCTGTCTGTATTTCCAAGTCTTTGAGGGAGCTGACAGTGATGACTGTGGAAGTTCTGGTTTTAGACATATTTCAACAAGTCTTAAAGTAGAACAGCGACAGTGAAGACCTTGACAGGTTGGAGAAATGGGCCAATTGGAACCTTACACAGTTCAGCAAGTAGAAAGTGTAAAGTCCTCCACCTGGAGAGGATCAACCCCAGGGCCCAGCACATGCTGGAGGCCAACTGTCTGGAAAACAGCTTTGATGTAAAGAACCTGGGGTCCTGATGGACACCAAGTTAAACATCAGCCAGCAACGTGCCCTTGCTGCAAATAAGTCTAATGGTATCCTGGGTGCATTAGAAAGAGAAGGCAGTTCTAAGGCTTCCACCTGAGACTGTTCGAACTAAAAACCCAAGAAAAGTATAGTTTAAGTCATTTCTGACTATCCAAGCTCACTCTTAACCTCTCTCATCCTTTCTGGTCCTCTCTTCACCTACAAAATGCTGACTCACACATAATTAATCCCCATTCGCAACTATTACAGATGCTAGTACTTAACCTATCAGTTACAAATCATTCAATTTTCTAGAAAAGGAAGAATTTAATTTAAACACCCTCCTAAGTCTCTTCTTGACCTCCTGCTCTTATGTCAGACATTCATACCATTCCATGAATGAATGGAGTCAGGCCCATCATTCATGAACTACATTAAATGAGCTCACACTAACCTTTTATTAACATACTTGAAATTTATACTTCCTATCAGGAAAACCTGGAAATTCTGGATAATATTTATTAATCAATTATATCAAATTATTTGTATTATGAAATGATAAAGAAACATACCCTTCAAGGTTATATTTTGATTGAATGGCTGGTAAATTTAATATATGAGCTGAAAGTGGGAGTATCGTATTTCTTCCTATCTATCTGCTATGGTTTAAAGATATTTTCTACATTCTGCAAATATAACAAAAAAAATATGGGTTACAGGATGTGTTTATGAACACACTTAAAAAGAATAAAGAGAGACAATAAAGTAGAGGCAGGAGAAGAGAAGAAATAGCCGGTTATATGACAAAAACTTAGTTGTGGGGGGAAGCAGTATTAGAGATTGTCAGCAAACCCAAAAGGCTCCAAGTTCATGTAACACACCTACTACATAAACAACCACTAAACAGTAGCATGTAGCACATATTGACATATTGGTGTTTATTAGAGTTGTCATTCCCCCACTAAATACTGTCTTAACAGATCGCTGAATTCAAAGTGTCGGTGATTACGCAGACCATAAAAGAAATTCTACATGCTAATTTCATTTTTTCTGAGAAAATTATAGCAGACAATGACCTTCCAGACTTTACAGAGGAGAAATAACCATGACAGCTAAGCTAATGGCTAGGCAAACAGATATTGACACATTAGTTTCTGTGGTTTTATATTCAAATATATCCAACACTACTAAAGAAACAAAAAAATTTTTTTAAAAATTATTCCCAAATAAATGTGTTGTCATCTTTCAGTGATGCAAAAATAGCTATAAAAAGGCATTTTACATAGTGAAATGCATCCTGAGCTTACCAGAAGATGATTACCACCTAGTGTCCAATGCTAGTATTACCAATGTGGTAGGAATGAAAGACTTACATAGCAAAGTAACTCTGAAAGTAAGGAATCACTTCTGAATATGCTAGAATACTAAATGGCTTCTTTCCTACAATTAACCAGCAGTCCAACAGAATAACATAAAATATACATCAAAACTGGCCCAGCTCTAAGAAATTACAGAAATGTTAGATCTTTACAAAATGAAAGTGTGCCGGTCAGTGTTTGGTACAATTCTGTACTGAAAGTAAGTTCTTAGTGCTTATGTATCCTCTTCCTACAAACTGAGGTACATATGGACACTGTCAGACTGCCAGGGCTAATTTATAGCAAAACAGAAGTTTGCTAATGTATAGCAAACAGAAAATACCAAACAAGAATTTTGGAGCTTTATCCTTGCTCAGTTTGTGATCACTCACTGCTTCTGACTGGATTTGAGTTAAAAAAAAAAAAGACTTTACAGGAAGCAATGACCATACTGAATGTCACTTTCCATTTACCAGCAAAACAGTAGGCTGCTAGTGTTGTGGCCTGCCCAGTGGATGAGGGAAAGGCTGTGGATATAGTCTATCTGGACTTCAGTAAAGCCTTCCACACTGTCTCTTACAGTATTATCCTGGAAAAGCTGGCAGGCCATGGCTTTAACAGGTATGTTCTTCACTGCGTTAAAACCTGACTGGATGGCTGGGCCCAGGGAGTGGTGGTGAATGGAGTTACATCCACTTGGTAGCTGGTCACTAGTGGGGTTCCCCAATGGTCAGTATTGGGGCTTGTCCTCTTTAGTATCTTTGGTGATGATGTAGACCAGGGGATGGCATACACCATCAATCAGCTTGCAGATGACACTAAGTTGAGTGGGAGTGTTGATCTGCTGGAGAGTCAGAAGGCTCTGTAGAGGGATCTGGACAGGGTGGATTGATAGACCAAGGCCAGTTGTCCAAGGTTCAACAAGATGAAGTGTTGAGTCCAGCACCTGGGACACAACAACCCCAGCAGTGCTACAGGCTTGGGGTAGAGTGTCTGGAAAGTGGCCCAGTGGAAAAGGACCTGGGGCTGCTGGTCAACAGCAGCTGAACACGAGCCAGCAGTGTGCCCAGGCAGCCAAGGCAGCCAGTGACAGCCTGAAACAGTGTTGCCAGCAGGACTAGGGAAGGGATCATCCCTCTGTACTCAGCACTGGTGAGGCTGCACCTCAAATCCTGTGTCAAGCTCTGGGCCCCTCACTACAAGAAACACATTTGAGTTGCTAGAGCATGTCCAGATTGGGCCAACAAACCCGGTGAAGGGTCTGGAGCACAAGTCTTATGAGGAGCAGCTGAGGGAGCTGGGGTTGTTATCCTCAAGACAAGGAGGCTCAGGGGAGACCTTATTGCTCTCTACAACTACCCGAAAGGAGCTTGTTGAAAGGTTTTCCCCGGTAACAAGTGATAGGACAAGTAAGTAGCCTAATGATAGGTACAAGTAGCACCAGGACAGATTTAGACTGGATATTAGGAAAAATGTCTTCAGGGAAAGATAAGTGGTCAGGCTTTGGAAGAGACTGCTCAGGGAAGTGGTTGAGTCATCAGTTCTGGAGGGATTTAACAGATGTGTAGATGTAGCATTTAAGGACATGGCTTATTGGTGGACTTGGTAGTGTTAGGTTTACAGTTGGACTTGATAATCGTAAAGATATTTGCCATCCTAAATGATACTATGATTCTATGATTTCATCATTTACAGTGCCTGAAACTGATAGTGCGTCTCCACTGTAGGCATTATGTCTTAAAAGGTCTTCTCATTGAACATAATACCTTGGATACTTTTACCTAAGTAAAAGAACTGTAGACATGGTGATTAAGGGACATAGTTTAGTAGACTTGGCAGCACTAGGTTTAGGGTTTTACTCAAACTTAAAGGTCTTTTCCAATCTAAATGATTCTATGATTCCATAATGCTATGGTTCTCAATAAGACACAGCTAGCCTCACATATAAGCAAGTTCTTTGAAAGAATCAGAAACACGTGATGATTGATTTTTGAACT